CACTGATTCTTTTCTTTTTTTGGTTATATTTGCGAATTTGGACAGTAAGCATCTAACCTACCATGTTGCTCTGTGGTACGCAAGAAGGGAACGAATACTGGAACCCCGTAACGGAAACAACGTTGTCATCTTCTTTATATATCTTTAGCTAATTTATAAAAGATTGGATTGGATCAAACAGGTAAATTAAAATCTAAATGGACTTAAAAGTAAGATTACTGTGTCAACATCAATAAAGTCAACTATGCTCATGCAAAATCATCGTCTGAAAAAGGCACATTCAAATAAAGTCATTAGAATTCACCAGCTCTATGTTCTCCTGATCGCTTGCTTCTTCCCTTGGTCTTGCATGAAATCCTGCCAAAAACTGTTCTGACTCTGGTAGGTCCTCGCTCTCATAAACATCTTCTTTTCCAGAAACGGACATGAGCCTGCAACATAAAGGGACGATAAGTTAGCGAGAAACTGGAGGACCTTTAGTTCAGCTATCGACAGCCAAGACAAAGTGCAGAACAAAAAAGTTGTATAGAAAGAATTTCAGCTGAGTTTAGTTTAAAAGTAACTTGGCAGTCGTGTAATCTCTCGCTCCATTGAAAATTCGTGCAAACGGTAAAGGCGGCTCCGAGCGCGTGCGTTGTGATTATAGCATTTCAGACATTTGGAGTATTTCAAATTCAAATATATTCGTTTGAGAAAGCCTTTCTCTCAATAATGTTTTACGGAACAAAAACCAGTGTAAAAATTACAGCCTTCGCCACTTTTGCTGGATTAAAAATTGATTGATACGAAAATCTCTTGCTCAGCATTTATTTTGATGTTCACTTGTATTGTTTATTACGAAGGCTTCCGTTGTCTCGCCGCTCTGAAAATTCACAAAATCTACATTCAGCGGAGATTTGTCCAAAAATTACTTGATTTTAGGGAAATGTCGATGGAAGAGTTTAACGAATTTAGGAAGCAACTCGCTGCATCTGTGCAGCGACTGAAACAGGATGTGCGACGATATCCGCTTTTTAATGCTGACTTCTCTCGCTTAAAACCGCCACACCAGCTCGAGGTATAGTAGTTCAATTTATTTGTTCTTTCTAATCTACATTTTTTTGATTTTTTAAATACATCATGCCATTGCGAACACAGCAGCTAGTTTTATATTGTGATTTGATTTATTTTATGTGATTATATTTTATTTTATGTTATTAACAAACATAGTGCCATTTCCAGGAACAAGAAAACATTAAAGCTGAGCAGTGGTTAGGAAAGAAATGCCAAAATACGGAGTTGACAGTCAGTGGTTCATATTCCATCATTTTCTTTACATTTTCCAATCGACGCTTATATGCTTCAGTCGAATGAAAGATGTTGCGTGGCCATGAAATTCCCCTTTGTCTGGCTCCGCTGCAATCGCAGACGCTCGCGGAAAGTTCTAAACCCTGAGCTACAGAGGGTTGCACTATTGAAGAAACTTAATATCGGTATTGCGAATGAGGTATTATACACTATTCATAATCATTCAAGCATATATCTTGGTGAATTTTTCAAAAAAAGTTTTACTCTGAGTTCTTTGACACTTCTCATATAAGAATTATAGTGTACCTCTAATCAACTTTTGCAACCTAAATATCGTTTGGCAACAGTTGTGCTTATCTGAGAATATTTACTTCTTTCTAGGATCCCCATATGGGTATTTGTCTCTTTCACTGGCGGATGATCAAATACAGAAGGCCAGGTGTTGCAGTGACTATTGAACAGTTAAAATCTTGGGAAGCGAAGGAGTCTCGAACAGAAGCAGATGATTCCAGTGAAGATACGGTGAGTTCGCGAGAGCTGAGTTATAACTCATTTTATGCTTATAAACCTAGAGCGATGCCATACTTGCTGAAAGTAGCACATCTTCCGATCATGAAGACTCTGAAGATGATACGACTATGGAGAATGGTAGACAAAGTGAGCTTTGTAATTGTCATATTCTACAGTTGTTCTTACCTAATTCAGTTCATGCTTTGATCTGGGCAGTTTCTGGTTTTTTCCTTAAATGAGAGAAGCGAAATTTTCAATCTTTAACAATAGGTTCCTTATATTTGTTGTCTCGCAAGTCATTTTTGATCATTCTGCTATAGATTTGACCTTGTTTTGCATTTATTTTTCGATCTACGTCATGAACCGTGTTAGACTGCGACACCATGGCAAAAAGGCCGTTAGAGAGGATAACCATAGTTCATGACTTTCCTTAGACTTTAACTTAGGCGGAAGCTCAGTCCAAGCAAATCATTTGATCTGAGTCAGAATTTTATGTCTGTTTTACACTTGACATGATGTGGATATGCGCTAAGGGCACATTTGCGGATCTGTTCAATCGAGTTCTTAGCCCCTTTCGTCATCAAGTAAAGTGGGCAAAGTTTTTGGCGTGCACTTTTCATCGCTAACTGTCGTACCGCCTGGCTGCACCTGGTTTAAGCGTAAATTCCAAAGCAAAAATCACGGTTTTCAGATACTCAGAGGAGCAAGCTGAACTGGCGAGATATGGACATAAAGCAAAAGAAAACGAAACCACCTTCAAATCAGGGTGACGAGGGAGATGAGCACAGAGATAGCGAGGAAGATGAAAGAGTTATGGGTTTGAGATGTACCTTTTCTTTTTGTAAAACAGAAACTTTGCAGAGTGGCTTATGGACACTATCAGCTGCGAGTCTTCGTAGATATCGAAAGTTCTTCATGATACCTACGAAAGCCAGCGCCAGCAAACATGCGGTATACTTTTTCATTCTGTCTTTTCCATATGGAGCTGAGAGAACTAGCATTTCTGTGCTTAATTATAACAATTTATTTTCAGATGTTAGAAGGTGTAGAGAATCATTTCGAGAAGCTACCGGTCCGAGCTAGTGACGCTATTGTTCATTTTATCTATGTTGCTAAGAATCGCATGAATACAGTTGAATAAACACTGTGACGATTTTAAGGTGTAACGCAGAAACTCATTTGCATCAGCTGGCGATAGTAATCTCTCCTATAGATCCTGGTATCTAGAAATCATGCGTTATAAGCTCCAATGATTGAAGGTGATGTTTTGATGGAAACTAATTCATACACAGATTGCCAATAGACTGGACTTCTTCGTATCGCTACATGACTTAGATGATCACTGAACTTATCAGACCTTTTTGTACTATGCAGTTAAGTAGAGATCTCATCCATTCATGCATATGTTGCCGGCGTATTTTTCAACCATCGTCATAAGTAGAGTTTTGAGACTGCTTGGAGGGCGCAGTTTTTCTTCATTTTTTCTGATGAAGCGGAGATCTTGGCACAGCTGCATTCGGTGCTATTGAACTGTTTTATTTGGCATCGAGGCACTTTTTGAGGTAAATTGCATTTGTATCAGACTGCGATACTGAATTTGTAGGGTGTAGCGCTGTCTAACATTTACCGTACTTCGATGTTAACCTTAGTCTAGATCTTAGTGTTAAAGAGCCATTATATTAAAGTTTAGCGTACTACATGACTCGTTTAGCAATTTAAAACTATGAATTCCTTAACGGTTAACACTTACATCAATGTTAAAGCAATATGCAAGTCTCTTCTGCCCATCGTAAGAGGTACATAAAGAAACCTAAGTTTAAGCGAACCCTCTATATTGTATCATTTAGGCCGCGGAAACGCTTGTAAGTAAAGAAGCTATTGACGATCAAACATTGGCACATTTTTGGGACACTTACAAAGCACAATGTTTGTGTGCATGTATGTGTAATGTATGTTATATATGGATGTATGTGTACGCATAGTTGACTTAGTACAGACGGAAAGGTGGTTTTTACCCCTAGGTTAATAGGTGGTTCAGTGGTTTCTTTATTGCGTCTGCTCTTAGCAGAGGATGAGGAGTGCCATATTGGGTCACGCCCAAAGGCACGACCTGATAATGAGAGAGAGAAGGAGGTTGTGGCAGATGCCAGAATTGAAAAATTTTCGTTTTGAACCAATCTGAACGAACTTTACACACACACTTCGGCACACCGCGAACACGTAGGTTAGTCTATTCACAAAAATACGATTGGTTTCATCGACTTATTGTTCTTCGCTTCGCTTCTGTGATGACTTTAGGCCTGGATGCTCGGGCGTGTTGTATGTATGACCTTCTGAACAAAAAACGAGGTGGTTCGATGAAAATTTTATGAGCGCAAAATCAGACTAGCGTGTTCCTAGTCTCTAACAAAACTGAAGATTGGGGCTAATCGCCTTACCTCCGATCCTTCCACAGCCCGTTTGCCAATGGCAGAGGTTCTGCCGTTAGCCAGAACAGTTCAAAATGCTGAAGATTGGAACATTGCGGCAAGTTGACGGGATTACGAACATGGTAACCATTCAAAGATTTATCTATCGATTTTACCGATTTATTATTTTTTGCAATTTCAAATTTAAGATAAAATTGGGGGTAAGTAAAAGTGGCGATTATGAGCATGTAATCGACCAAAAATGTGATTGATCTTCCATTTTATTGTTTTGTATTTCTCGCTCTGAGTAGTTGGTGAACAAGGTTTGTTAACATGCTGTTTATGAATGCGAAACGGTATCT